AACACAGGCCTGCGACGGTTTTATTGTCTTAACATTTTTACATGTTCTACTGTAATTCCTGTACGCTGAATCTGAAAATGATACCCAATTTTCTCCATCACGTACAGATTTTTCACAAAACGTCATAACGTAAAATAAAGACAAAAAAAAGTAGATTTCACATACAAAAAATCAGGATAAATCAGGATGCATATTCGTTGGACACAATGTTCTTCCCTATTCTTCAGCTTGTTTGTATTTTTGTTAACAAACATTATAATAAAAAAATGTTCATTGTGGTAAACGAAATAATAATTTGATCTAAGTAAGAGATTTTGTGTTTCTTCCCATTTTGTAAAAAAAATCCTTATGTGATAGGAAAAAAAAAGAATATTATTTTCGAAACCTGCGTAGCTGAATTATTGAAAATCCGTTGTTAAAAACCAAAACAACTTTTATGGAGTTTAAATTCACAGACCTGTGTAATTACACTATCCGTAACTCCGGGATATGTCGTCACAGTGATTTTCATTAGTTCTGGGTCTGTGGAAAGGAATTATCACAGTGGCATTCAAAAGATAAAAAATAAATTATGCAGTGCGAGAACAGAAGTAAACAACAGTGTTGTAAGTTTAATCGTAAACATACACATTTTGAAAGATATGTTTACAAAATTCCACAGTAATAATAAAATTACCTCAGTGTAAAATATTTTGGTAAGAGCTTTTCTTTTTCGGACTTTTACACGACTTTCTGTTCTATTTGTAAATTAACGCTTTTACACACCCAGTAGGGGGCGAATGTTTATTTGTTCTAAATTTACACCCTTTAAGTGTGTGAATTCACACTTTGCTAACAACAAGGGGTGTGTTTGTTGGACCACGCCCAATTCACACAATTTTTTCTGAGACTATAAAACAAAATGACATCAGACAGTTAGATCCTAGGTTAATTTAGATGAACTACTTACCACCGGAGAGCTGATTCTACAACCTTTACAGTCACAGTCCGGTGGGTGGACAGCTAAGATCCCCTTGGACAACAACAGTTTCATGCTCTTCCCGTGATGCCTGATACTCCGCTTCCAGTCCTTGGCCGTTTCTCGCCCACTCACGTACTGGAACTCATTCGGAGTGAGCCACATGTCCCGGAAGAAGATACACGGCCCTTTGGATCCCTGGCATAACTTGGACAGATAAAGCAGGCCATTGTTTCCACCACATTCTACTTCCAATATCACATCCCCGTCTTGGTACAGAGGCTTCAAGTATCCACCATAAACCTCCATATCTGGGTAAGAGCTGCCCGACTGAGATCCTGGACATTCAACAGAGCCTCTTGGCACGATGCTGCCTGCCTTCATCCCCTCGGTAGGGCGATTAATGCGGTCAGAGGAGGAGAAAGTTTCACTTGAATTGTCCTTTACCTGCCACGGTCTGCATTCACTATTCATTTGCTCCCCTTCCCCACCGAACGGTAGTTTGTCTTCCTCGACAGTGGCAGGTGTGATTAGTGGGGTGCCACGTTCTTCAAAACTGATGGAAGAAGATTGGCAACTAGGGTCGGCAGTGCACGTCTGTCTGTTCTTTGCCTTGGTGACGCCAGTGATGACCCTCGATCCCAGACCCCAGGGCACCACCGCCGCCGACATCACGTGCTGTCCTGATGATAAGTAGCGATTAAACGCCTGCCTTTGCTACGACGACCCGTGTCAGAAAAATGGATCAAACCACAGAACAGCTACGAGCCAGAAGTATTGTGAGATAGAGGTTTCAGGTGGCGTTGTTGTAGTCACTACCGGTGTGTGGAGGAAGTGGCGGGAACGGTTGGCCGGATGTCAGCACGACGCGCATCCGTCGCCTTTGCCGAGCCCAGGAGAAAGGTCGACTAACTGAAGTCTGCTGATAACATTATCTCCAACAACCTATGACCCTACCTTCCACTAACAAGACGGGAGGAAGCGCTCCTCGTGACTGTTTTGCTGATAGGCTGCACGTAATGACTTATTCGATTTATGTACACTGGCGTGTAGTTTTCTATCGCACTGTGCAAAGTAAAAACATGGGCACATGCACCAACTGAAAAGTTCGTAAACGAGCCTGCTACAAACCCTGACCTCTACATAGGAAATAGAAAAAGCACATGTGTATCTGTTGCGTTAGCGCAGATGGCCCATTTGCTCTTTTCTACCCTGCTGTTCTTGGACAAGGGACTGTAAGCTCGAATGAAGGGGGGAAAAAGTTCACGCGAAGTGAGATTAAACTAGAGGGCTTACCAGTGACCGAAGACGAGTATCACGTGGCTTACGAACTGTGTGCGTCCCCCTCTAGCACGGCTCAGATAGTTCTTTTGAAAAACCATATTATGCAGTCCTTTTTACCTCTAGCTCATGGTTACTGAGGTCACAGCGTCTTTACACTCCGGCTCTGTAACGGATTGCTCACTGCGCGCGCAGTCCCTTTCCCGCCCTATTTAAAACGGTGCAGGAAGAAATTCAGACCGAGAGAAACCAAGCGCAACTTCGCCGCCAATGGCCCCCTACAGCTTTCTTCTTTGTCCGTAGAAGTGTTGACAATAGCCCCACTGGTCCAGGGAGACCCTCGGGACGAAAGTACACGTGCACGCCTCCGACACGCGCATCTGAGCAGAATCACCCAACACCGGAACTGTTCACTTTGTCAGCATCAACAAACCAGTGAGTTTCAAGAGGCCAGCACAACTATTAGCAAGCTCTACGTAAAGTACATACAGGTTCGAGCTCTCACACTTAAATGCCAGCTGCTTTTGTGACAAATTTTAACCTAACTTAAATGATATGCTATTAATTTCTCCCCAGTCAAATACATTCTCACAAACACGGAGTCTAATGAGAATGTTGTTGATGAAAAATAGAATCCTCAGAATTGTCTCCCTATTAATTCAGCGGTAAGTCTGAAGGTTTATAGCGCTAAAAATCGGACTTAAAAAATCATCCGTGGGCAGAGCACAGATAGCCCATTATATAGCTTGGTGCTTAACAACAAAAGTAAAATAAAACAAAAAACAACAACAACAAAAAATCTTAGAATGTTCTGGTGTTTGACAAAATTTACTATTGTATTACTATGTTATACCAACTAGCTACAGAATATTGTTTACTGATGTTTCTATGCTATACAACATAATTACAAAATATTGTTTACTGGTGTGTCTGTGCTATACAACCTAACTACAGAATACTGTTTACTGATGTGTCTGTGCTAAATAACCTAACTACACAATATTGTTTACTGATGTGTCAGTACTATACAACCTAACTACATAATATTATTTACTGATGTGTCAGTACTATACAACCTAACTACATAATATTGTTTACTGATGTTTTCTGTGCTATACAGCCTAACTACAGAATATTGTTTACTGATGTGTCAGTTCTATACAACATAATTACAAAATATTGTTTACTGATGTGTCTGTGCTATACAACCTAACTACAGAATATTGTTTACTGATGTGTCTGTGCTATACAACCTAACTACAGAATATTGTTTACTGATGTGTCAGTACTATACAACCTAATTACAAAATATTGTTTACTGGTGTGTCTGTGCTATACAACCTAACTACAGAATATTGTTTACTGATGTTTTCTGTGCTATACAACCTAACTACAGAATATTGTTTACTGATGTGTCAGTACTATACAACATAATTACAAAATATTGTTTACTGATGTGTCTGTGCTATACAACCTAACTACAGAATATTGTTTACTGATGTGTCTGTGCTAAATAACCTAACTACACAATATTGTTTACTGATGTGTCTGTGCTATACAACCTAACTACAGAATATTGTTTACTGATGTGTCAGTACTATACAACCTAACTACAGAATATTATTTACTGGTGTGTTTCTGCTATACAACCTAACTACAGAATATTATTTACTGGTGTGTTTCTGCTATACAACCTAACTACAGAATATTGTTTACTGATGTGTCTGTGCTATACAACCTAACTACAGAATATTGTTTCCTGATGTGTCAGTACTATACAACCTAACTACAGAATATTGTTTACTGATGTGTCAGTACTATACAACATAATTACAAAATATTGTTTACTGGTGTGTCTGTGCTATACAACCTAACTACAGAATATTGTTTACTGATGTGTCTGTGCTATACAACATAATTACAAAATATTGTTTACTGGTGTGTCTGTGCTATACAACCTAACTACAGAATATTGTTTACTGATGTGTCACACCAGTAAACAATATTCTGTAGTTAGGTTGTATAGCACAGACACACCAGTAAACAATATTCTGTAGTTAGGTTGTATAGTACTGACACATCAGTAAACAATATTCTGTAGTTAGGTTGTATAGTATTAATATTCTGTAGTTAAGTTGTATAGCACAGACGTTTCCTGATGTTACTGTGCTATAAAACCTATCTACTGAATATTGTTTACTGATAAGTCTGTGCTATACAACATAATTACAAAATATTGTTTACTGGAGTGTCTGTGCTATACAACCTAACTACAGAATATTGTTTACTGATGTGTCAGTACTATACAACCTAACTACAAAATATTGTTTACTGGCGTGTCTGTGCTATACAACATAATTACAGAATATTGTTTACTGGTGTTTCTCTGCTATACAACCTAACTACAGAATATTATTTACTGGTGTGTTTCTGCTATACAACCTAACTACAGAATATTATTTACTGGTGTGTTTCTGCTATACAACCTAACTACAGAATATTATTTACTGGTGTGTTTCTGCTATACAACCTAACTATAGAATATTGTTTACTGGTGTGTTTCTGCTATACAACCTAACTACAGAATATTGTTTACTGATGTGTCAGTACTATACAACATAATAACAAAATATTGTTTACTGGTGTGTCTGTGCTATACAACCTAACTACAGAATATTATTTACTGGTGTGTCTGTGCTATACAACCTAACTACAGAATATTGTTTACAGATGTGTCAGTACTATACAATCTAACTACAGAATATTGTTTACTGATGTGTCAGTACTATACAACATAATTACAAAATATTGTTTACTGGTGTGTCTGTGCTATACAACCTAACTACAGAATATTGTTTACTGGTGTGTCTGTGCTATACAACTTAACTACAGAATATTGTTTACTGATGTTCATGTGCTATAAAACCTGTCTACCGAATATTGTTTACTGATGTGTCTGTGCTATACAACCTAACTACAGAATATTGTTTACTGGTGTGTCTGTGCTATACAATCTAACTACAGAATATTGTTTACTGGTGTGTCTGTGCTA